CTGATTTAGGTGTTGACTGTTGACTGTTAATAGAAAATGATTACGTTTGTACACATATTTGCATTCATATATGATTATTTTAATTTGTGGTTAAAATTGAACGTATAGTTATACATTTACAGTCCACCGTGTCGTAACCAAAATTTATTAAATAAAAAACTTAGCATGTACGTATAAGTTTATATAGATTGAAAAATCAAATAGAAAATACAATACATTTTTAATTAGTGAATAAGTAATTTATATTTTTGTATCCAACAGCGAAACACCAACATAAAAAATACTTTTTTGCATGTTTGTTTCGTCTTTGACTATCACACTTACACCATATATTTGAAAGATTCATGGCATTTATTTTAATCGAGTTTTGTTTACATTTTCTTGATCATAGGGGTCGGTATCGGTTAGATTTCAATTGCACGAAACAAGCTTCTGTTTCGTTTGCAGCCATCTAGCTTCTGGTGGTCGCGACCGAGATGAACGACATAGAAACTCCGACGTCAACGAGATCTTAACGAGATCGAATTTTCCTCGAGGCACGTCTCACGATTTACCCAAAAAGATTCTTGATCACGAGTAAGCTTGGATTTTAATAAAAAGATATAATGTTAATACCTCTAAAAGACTTCAATATAATATTAAGAGCATTTCAAAACACTTGGTTCATATATTTTGTGAAAAATAAAATTCTCAACTTGTTAGTAATTAATATTTAAGAAAGTTGACCGGTTAAATTAATTATAATAAGACTTGATATTGTGAAGCAAAAAGGCTAGTTTGGTAAGTACTTGTTAAGAAATTACCAACTCGTGATATTTGTTATTCATATAATTTTATTAATTAAGTGGTTTGTTTTCTTTTTGCTGGACCAAATTATACAGTCGAGTGATCTTTCTGGGAGATTTGAATTATCGAATTTCGTTACCTGAGGAGAAGACAAGATTATTGGTGGAAAGAAAAGACTGGAACAGCTTACTTGAAAATGATCAGGTAATTGTTTAGTATAGGTTTACTTTAATAAAACTCAACTTTTCTTCATAAGTTTAAAGTTGTAAACTCGTCATTTTCTTATAATATGTTTTTTTTTCTTACATTAATTAAGCTAAGGATGGAGATCTTGAACGGCCAAATTTTCAAAGGTTGGAAGGAAGGAATTGTCAAATTTGCTCCAACATATAAATATATTCCAAATTCGGATTTATATTATGGATGCATCGCATACAAAAAGGACGAGAAGAAACGAGCTCCTGCATGGTAAGTATCACGTAGTACATAATTTACTTGTGGCACTTATCAATTCTATATCATAGATTTTCTATTAAAAAAAATATTAATCACATACATGTGTATATAATAGGTGTGATCGAATAATATGGTATGGAAATGGACTGAAGCAACATGAATATACAAGAGGAGAAACGAAAATATCTGATCATAGACCAGTCAAAGCAATATTTACCACAGAAGTTACAGTTTTACGTCGTGGTAAAAAAATTCGTAATTTCTTTTTCTCAGACAGATTTGAAGAGAGAATTAACGAGTATAATGAAATAGATTCGAAAGACTACTCATGGATATCTACGTAATTTTAGTAATCATGATAAAATCTTGACGTTGTTCATATTTATAATACACTGAATTATAATTATAGAGTATATAACCAAAAAAAGGAGAGTATTTGTTTATAAATTTTAGTTTTTAGCATCTTGTAATAAAGAGATCATATAATAGATGGTTTGTGAAATATACTGATTATCTGCAATCTTGGTGACAAGTGACACTTCTATGGTAAGATATTATTCATAAATTACAAAATTCTTTCACTATATTTGACTAATAATTAGGTTAATGGAGTTCAACATTAACAATATGGTCCGTGGTTGTATAATTTAGCAACTTTGAGATGAAATACCGATTAATCTTGAATACGTAAAATCTAATATATTTGCTTATATCTAAACTATCTACAGCAGTTTTAAAAAAATTACCACGAATAAAGATTTATACATCTTTGGAAAGAGAGGAGGATTCGTGAGATTAGGAAAATGAGTATTGTTTGATGGATCTTATGATATTTTTGGGTAGGAGAATTCTTCGAAAAAGGCCAGTTAAACTCTTGGCAAAAGTTATTGAGATGCTTTGACAATCTACAAACAGTGGACATGAAAACTGAGAACGTGAAAATCGAGATGGACGCGGTTAGAAGTATCTACTTTAACCTATATATTCGAGCCATTCGAAGTGGAAATTTCTATTGTAAATGGTACATATTTTGTAGCTAAAATTTTAGGGCTTGTTTCACAAATGATCCATAAATTGGGGTCAAATGCAAAATTAACCTATTTTTTCCTCTTTTTCATATTTTGCCACTTTCTCACAAATCCATCCTTTACATCTTCACATATTCACGAAAATGCCATTAAATTCTGATTTTTTTTTTTAAATTCCGAAATAAGCAAAATGACCAACATAACCAAAAGAAACCATCATATTCACGAAAATGCCATCTTCATCAATTTCTCCAACCACCATGAACAACCAAATTGAAACTCTAAATGCTTCCCAAACCGTTTTTTCTTATCTAAATTCCCCATCTTTGAGCTCATAACTTCTTTATCTTCTATTTCCTCTACAATTTCATCCAAAAACTTCTCTTATTTTCATTTTATAATTTTTCTCTCTAACAACCAAAAAACTTCTTGTGGTTCTTGCATAACAGCGTTTGGGCTTTATTCTTACATGTGAGATTCGAAGTTTCAGGGAGGTGACGAAGCTAAAAACGAGCTTGAACGGTGAAAAAAGGTAAACTTACTTGATTTTTGCCCATCTTCAGATATACTTCGCGAAAGTAGACTTTTTTTTATAGTCTACAGGTCAACGAAGAGGTTATATTTGCAATTGACCATTTTTAAAATATCCAAAGTAGATTGACAAAGAAGTCTACGTGTTTTATTTTGGAAACAAAAAAACGTGTGTAAACTTGATATGAAGTCTACTTTCACTGAGGTTAGTTTTACATTTGACTAAAAATTTGACTTTTTAGAGCAGACTTCTTTTATCTACTTGTCGTAGACTGTAAAAGAAGTCTAATTTGAGGTCAGTTTTGCATTTGACTCAACTTTGACTTTTCATAGTACAGTGCAAAAGAAGTATACTTTGAGAAAATATGTTAGTTTTGTGTTTGACTAAAACTTCAAAAATTTGACCATGGATAAATATCTATGTAGACTGCAAAAGAAATATATAAGTAGATTTATTTTGCAGTCTACTATTTAATTAAATCGAGATTTTGGTCAAACACAAAACTAACCTTTTTTTTAGTGTAGACTTCTTTTGCAGTCTACATAAAAGTAGACTATAAAAGAAGTCTACTTCAAAAAGTCAAATTTTAGTCAATTGCAAATCTAACTCAACACATCAGACGAAGTCTACACACGAAGTCTACTTTTGATTGTAGACTGTAAAAGAAGTCTACTTTGAAAAAACGATTTTCCGTGTATCGTGTAGACTGCAAAAGAAGTCTACTTGAAAAAGTCAAACTATGGCCAATTGCAAAACTAACATCAATACTTTTTGTAGACTGAAAAAGAAGTCTACACTTATAAAGTCAAAGTTTTGGTCCATTACAAAAATAACCCAAATTGTTGTGTANACTGNAAAAGAAGTCTACGTACTTTTGCTATGATTGCAAAACTAACCTGACAGGTCAGACGAAGAGAGGAAGAACCGCAGCAAGTCGGAAGAGGAAGAACGGCGGCAAGTCGACGGACGAACTGCGGCAAGTCGACGGACGAACTGCGGCAAGTCGACGGACGAGATCCGTGGAGGCAACGGCTGCTTCAAATAGAAAAAAAAAACGAGAGAGGTGAAGCGCCGTTTGAGTTTGAGAGAAGTTGATAAATTTAGGGTTACGTATCAATAAATTCATTTATCTAGGGAAGTAATAAAATTCGGTTAAGTTTTGGTTTAGTAGAATTTATTTCCCGGTTAGGTTAAAATTT